TTATTTCAACTGTGACTCAAATATAGTACCCAGAATACCGATATTTTGTTTAAGAAAAAGAATTCTTTCAAATAAGTTGGTGTTAATTGATGTACATTTTGCTATCATTAAATTACCTGCACTTGAAAATAAACGTTCACTGGGGGTTGATGTGGAAGGTATAGCCAAGTATTTTCTTGCCAAATTGGCAAGGATCGGAAATTTTTCTTGAACATCTTTCCACCAATTAAGTGGATTAGTTGTAATTGACATTTGATCTACTTTAAGATATTCATCTACTTCATTTTTATCTGATGTTGATGTTATATCTGACCCAAACATTATTGAAAAAAGGCTTATTTGATTATCATTTTGCTCTACATTTACCAAGTTAGTAATACTTTCATTTTTAATACTAAGTAAATTATATTTTTCTCGCAAAAGATCAATAGCCTTATCATGTTCCCAACTATCTAATTTTTTCATTAACTTACAACGTGGATCAAGTAACATTGCAATTAAAGAACAATCAAGAGGTGCATTCCAATAATGGTCTAATGCTTTATATAAACTCTTCTTTACTTTTTCTACTAGGTTATCCGTATTTTGAGGTTGACTAAGTTTAAACTTACCTCCATTAGCCATAATAATTATTTCTAATTCTTCATCTATATCGACTATATTCTCTTCCTCCTCATCAAAAATAGTTAACATATTTGTTAAATCAAGCTCTTCATTACTTATACTCATTGACAATGGTGTACAATTTCTAGTAAGGGTGGTGATTGCTGGCCACATAAAACTATGTATAGTATAATTACTACCTTCTAGCAATTGTGTAATCTCAGCAAAAGGTGCCAAAATTATAGTTAATTCCTCAAGAACTTTCTATTCTTCTTCTGTAATCATTAAGGATTTTAAGCGAATTGCATCTTTACGAATAATATAATCATTATCTGCACTCATAGTTGCTTCCATTAATTTAATAGCATGCTTAATTTGAAGAAGCCGTTTCTATGCGATATACG